CGAACATGTACACGGTACAAACAAATACCCCTACTGACACACCTTATGTGCCCATGATTCATAATGTATCGTAAACTGCTAGCCCAACAGATTGGCAATGATTGAAAAAGTGAGCAGCACAATAGAAAACGGCATATTGCATTGTGTATTATTCAGAGATATTGAATAATGTATTTCTATTTCTGTATACACACAGGGGTTTGACACAATGAAACCTTAGTTTACATTATAATGCGATTTCCGCATGGACACTGCACTTTTGAAATGATTAACCTTTTCTGCCACGCCCTACAATGCCTTCCACTTAAGGAACACATTTCGAACAAAGCATACAAAATGTCACAATGATGCCCTGTGCGGTAAATCCTTATGCATGACCCAGTTAGCGTGACATTTCTGCACAAAAAGAGGAAATCCTGCTGAAAAGACACCACGTTTCCTAACAGATGGTACCACAAAGGTCACCGCCTCATTAGCATGATGGGACATTCTTTCTCCTGTCCTCCGTCCTTCAGGTTGGCTGTAACCATGTGTGGCCAAAGGAATAAATGGCAGTCTGGTAATTGCCCACATATCGCCGGCATTCTTTGGAATACCTTGGTTATTGTATAGCCTTGCTAAGATCGAGGGCGTTTCCTTGCGATCAAACCTAGCTGTGGCAAGCCTCCAGGAAAGGAGGCTCAGTTGACGGAGCGGGGGGTGACGGGGGAGCGTGCCCAGTGGACACCACAGGGACGACAGCCCACCTGGCACTGTCACAGATGCCATCAGAATTAGACAAGCCCTGTTAAAATGGAGGCTGGTGTCGTCTGACCTTTTATAGAGATAATACAATCTGGCAGCCACACTATGCTCTGCTATCCGGTTCATGTCCACAGCATAAACATCTCACTATGTCCCTCATGTTTCTTTCAACTGTGTTTTCCTTTCTTTCTCTTCTGGGTTGGTGTGTCTTTTACCGGCTGCCAAAGCACACTTCGACAAAATATCAGCACAAATCCTCGATACAAAGCGTATATCTCCCTCGTCTATTCTCTCCCTTTGAAATCAGCAGCCAGACTCCTTCTGGTCGACTCCTCTCCTCTGGTGTCTCCAGCTGGTGAGATATTGTGGTTGGCACTGGCACACTGATAGCATGATATAATCTATACTGGAAACCCCTGGCTGCATTGTGGTGTGCCTCCTTTCAAATGCCTCCTCCTTCATCTGTCCTTCGAGACAGATTTCCCTCCCTCAAAGCCCTCAAAGGACTCCTCTTTCAACCTTTCTCTTCTCTTTTACAATTCAGATCAGGGTTTATTTCTCAATTTAAGATAGCCACTACTTCTCTATGTGTCCTTTGAGACAGCGATTCCTTCCCTCTGTTATGTTAGGCGCTTTGAATTGTTTGGTTTATTTAAGCTCCAGATCGCTTCACCCCCCCCTCTCTCCTGTGACGCTGCCTCACTCTTTCAGTCTTATCTCTGCTCTGTTTTGCTTCTGTGAGAGTCTCTTTGTGTCTATCAGCATTTTCCTGTCTCGAGCTGCACAGCCGAGCCTTCACCTCTACTGATGCCGCTGCTCCATTATTCCTTTAAAGTTTGTTCCCTCAGAGATGCACAATTTACCTGTGTCGCCCTTTTGTGCACAAGAGCTATATTCAGCCATGGCAACTGGGATTTCAGGTGATATTATAAACAGCTCTACAATTGAATGCAGCCCATTACAACAGATAGGACACTAACATCTTGTTTTTCATGCACTGGGCAATTTAGAGTTTGTTTTTCTGCTTGAAGTAAAACATTCCCAATACACATTAAGTTGTTTATTTAGCCATTATTATCTATTTGAGTGTGTACATTTCCCCTTAAAAGTTAGCATTTATTTGTTTTAGTTGAATGGGGATATCTTTTATCAAGATATTTATCATGAAGTTTCAAAAATGTATGAAAATACAGATTCATATCTTGGCAGTCTTCTCAAAATGATTCCCCATATTACTTTGAGGCAGAGAAATATCCACCTACATAGCACTTTCATACTGTACACAAACCTTTCAATTTGAAATCTTATCTATAATCTGAAGGTTTTACCGAGGTTTGTTCATATATCATTTATAGCCTAATCTATAGAACATATAAAATATAAAATTGTTATGGCTCTTCGAATATCTTTTGAATAATGTAGTGATAGACTGATCTCCCAAATTCCTTCCTTGAAACCTCTCGACCCTTTATGTCACTACAATTCTTACCCAATTTCACTTATAGTGTATTTTTTAAGCTAAATGCTAAATGTTTGTAGTAAATTCGTAACACTTTAGGCATATGCTTTGAATTCTAGAGAAGAGACACCTTTAAGACAGCTCTGCTATTAGAGTATTGTCTGTTCAGGAGTTAATGCAGCTGATCAGCCAGGGAGCTAAGATCTTATTCAATTCATTCATGTAATTAGTTCTCCGTGTGTAATTGCTACAAATGTGTCTTGGGACTGCACTTGTCTGTTTTGATATTGCGTTTCAATTTGACACCTCCTCACCTCTTAGCTACAGGGCTTTAACCACAGCGCCTCATCTCCATTTCTTCTCCTTGTCACTCCCTTGTGAAATTATTGCTTTGTTCTTTTGGTTTTAAGGAGTAATTTTCGTTTTATACCCAATTTCGATGGGGTCTTTTCTATTTCGCTAAATTAGTCCTCCCAACCTCCACTCTATCTCTTCCCTATTTCAATACCCAAGTGTATTTCTAAACATTTTCTCTCTTGCACTATTTCATTGATAGATGTAAATATCTCCCCTCCCTCTCTGCACTCATTGCTTCATAGCTTTTTCCTTGAGGACCATATGGACTCCCCCTCCCCCCCCCCCACACACTGACTGTCTGTCATTCTCTCATCTTTCACCCATCCTTCCTTCATCTCAATCGCTCCCAAGGTGATTTGAGTAGAGCCATCCCATATCTTCTCCTTCTCCCTTAATCCTTTTTGTCCTACTCCTGAAATCTCTGAGGGCTCATTCTCATCTTTGAATTCACCCATTCCTTCCTTCCGGCTCCATCCATCCATCACTCAAACTATTAGTTCCTCCTCCTCATCCATCTTTTCTCCATTCACCCGTGGCTGCCATTTTCCCTACTTTCCCTCAATGCCTCAGATGATTCCTTCACATGGTTTCCCACATTTCCAATCATCTTTCCATCTGTCGGTCTTCCCTTTCCTCACCCCTTTCACCCCTGCTCAATACCACTTACTGCGTAATACCATCTTATCTGAGGGAAACCAAATGTTGACCTCTAAGTAAAGGGTAAAACACAAACGCAAGTAATGCCATGATGGAAGTTCCTCGCCGACCTCCACTTCCCTTATCTTATTCTAGCTGTCACTATTTCAGGTTTTTCACAAGAGCAACAAGCCCAATACATAAGAGGCAGCAAACTGTAAATTCATGCAAACATAATATATCTAGTAGTCAGGGTTCTTACGGTCATTAAAAACCTGGAAAAGTCATGGAAATTCAAAATGCTAATTCCAGGCCCTGGAAAAGTTATGGAAAACAATATTTTTCCCACATTTTTGGAAAAGTCATGGAAATGTAACTAACGTTGCATCAAATATAATTTATATTTGAGCTAATCGCCGAAATACTATAATGATAATAAATACTGTATCGTATAGTAATGAAACGTAAAATGGCATTTAACTGTCGAGGTGTTTTGCTGGTGAGAGATTTTAGTTGCTTTAGCGTGTAGAAGCTAGTAAGCCTACTATTTGATTTGTTTTAGATAGGCACAACATGTTTCAGATGCAGACCTTATTTTCCTGTTCCATGTTAAAATAAACCATTTTCAGTGGTACCGCTAAGAGTCATTTTTTGGTCATGGAAAATTAGGTAAAGGTCATGGAAAAGTCATTGAAAATCATTGGTGAAAAAGTGTATGAACCCTGAGTAGTATTGAATTTCAAGTACACCAATCAGTCAAAACCCAAGGCAATGATAAGAGTATTTTGAACAGACCTGTAAAAGCCATATTTTTGCACAAAAAGAGAAATGTCACTATAAAAGACAACACATTTCTTAACTCAATCAGACTTTTTAACTCTGCATATTCATCTCAAATTATTGTTTAATTTTACGCAGTTTAATGGTGTTGGCAAAGAGGGTTTAAAACCTTATCCTTCTTTTTTTTTTCAGGGACTGGCTTACACATGTCCACAGTACTTTGTAATTAACAGGAAAGCTACTGTTCACACATTTGTTCACAGCAATGTGTGGAAAAGTGAGCAAACATTGGCAGTTTTACTAATTTGTTTTCAGTATGTAACCCCATTTTACAAGCCAAGGTGTGTCAGTTGTCTCCTAAATAATTTGTGATAGTAACAACAACATTGCAGCCCTTAACCTCAAATCTGGTCTTCATAAATGTTTGATTCTTTTTCTCCCTCTGAGAGCACGGCGAGTAAACACGGATAGTTAAGTGTGAAGGGATCTCATTTTAAATGTAAAATGACATGGCTAACTGAGTGTTTAAATGTAGCTTCAAATCAAAAATGACATATCCCATAAAGATCCTTTTACTTTATCAGGCATGTCCATTAATGCTGGCAAATGTAGCTGTAGACAGACCTGGCTTTCAGAGTCAGACACTATTTCCTTGCCTCTAGGTGTTTTCATGTTCCAAGGAAACTCCCTTAAATCTAACGACCATCCACTTATCTTCCCATGTTCACTTATTACCCACCTGTTGGGAATCAGTGTCATACCATGATGGAGCTAAATTATTAACTTAATTCTCCCCACTATGCCTTCATCTGTCTCCCCATTCATCCATCCCTTGAGGATTCGTCCATGTACAAGGTGCACTACTGAAGTGTCGTGCTGTAATGGATGAATATTTATGGCGTTTTGAATGGAGACAGGAAATCCACCTTCCCCCAGAAGACTGTCAGAAAATGACTGTAAAAGGTACTATTCATCACGTTGGTTCTTATGGTTTGCAAGTGAGTAAAGCAAAAGTCAAACTGACCTGTAGATGAGGGTCTCGTCGGCGGTGCAGTTGTACTGTATCTGATACATCCAGACTGCGTAAACTGCAGACAAACTTCCCAAATCCCATCGGACCTGAGCTGAGGTTGACGTAACTCCTTGTACTCCAACCCTCCTTTCTTCCTCCTCGTCCTCCATGCTCCCTCCATCGGCCGTCACCCCTTCAGAGGCCTTGCTACTTTCGTCCTCACTTCCACCTTTCTTTCCGTCCTCTGCCTCCCCTCCTCGTCCTGCTCCATTGTTAATCCCTCCGTTTATACCTGTGCTGATATCAGAAGAGCCCGGATCGGTCCGTAAAATCCCATTGGTCACGTTCCCGGTGTTTTTGGTGTTCACGTTATTATTCCCTGCGTTTCCACCTGCTCCGCCGCGGTGAGGCAGGGGGATTATTTTCAGGTCCACAGTGGCAGTTGCCTCACCCGCTGCGTTTATTGCAATACACGTGTACGCCCCGTCATCGCGGGCCACTGTCACTAAGATATCCAAGGTCCCATTGCTGAAGGAGCTGGTCCGGGATGAATTGGCAACAATGCGGTCGTCTGGGGAAACCCAGTGGATTACTGGCTCAGGATCACCAATGGCACGGCATTTGAGCGTGGCTCTCTGGCCCTCCAGCACCCACAGCTTGTGAGTGTGACGAGTGATCAGTGGTGGTTCACAGGTAAACTCCTCCTCAGGAATCGACCAGAAATATCTGAGAGACAAAGAAGGATGGAGCCAATAAAAGAGAAAGTCAAGGAGAGCAGAATCACCTTTTTGGCTAAGTACAAGAATTTGTCTTCTTTTATCCCTGCGAGGTGGATTTGGCAGATTAATGTGGTACATTAACCTAAAGATCTATGTGCTCTTGTCTATCAATTTAAATGGTTAAGTTCAGTAATGCACAACAGTCTGAACAATTTCCCATGCTACCCCTGCGGAAACCCGGACTAAGCAAAGAGTAATGAATGCTGACAGCCATGACAGATGACAACAACAGATGCTCGTTTTCCTCCTCAATCCTTTGTTTTCACTCCATACTGTTGGCTGCAGGGTTAGAGTCTTGCAGAAAGATGCAGGGAGGGGAACGTTTGCGGTATAACGACAACAACAATACCACATCACTGCTTCAAAACCAAGTCCCTAAGGCCTACTGCACCTTTCCTGTGAGTGTTTGCCACTAAGGTGTCAATATATGTTATGCCTTTTAATTAGATTTAAGCTAAAACGGTACTGGTAGGATAGATGGGTCTTGAGACAAGGTTGGGATAAATGACTGATTATACCCAGTTAAACATCACCCACTATTCTTCCCCCCCCCCCCCCCCCCTTGACTTCGGAGAATGCTTCAATTATTTAAAGGATCAGGATAAACATTTTGTCCGTAACTTGAAAGGGACAAAAAAAAGATTACCTTCCAGCCAGGTGAGGAGGTGTGGCACACGTCTCCATGTCGTCCCCGCGGATTAGCCTCCGTAACCATAGCAGCTCGCAATTGCAGTGCAGCGGGTTCCCACCAAAATTTAAGCTAGTGATAGCATTGTACGGGGTGGGACTTATTGCACCTGTCTGGGACCTGAAGATGATAGCAGAAAGGAACATCTGGTTACTTCAACACGTTTGTAAGCCTTAACAGAGAAAAAGTCAATTTTAATGCTTTATTCTTGATCGGTAGATGGAAATCAATCCAGTTAATAGTGTACGAACATGTCTTACCTTATGAGCATGATTATCAAAATAGCAGTTTTATAGTTTACAATTTTTCTTAAATTAAAAATGCTATAATTTGCAAATATCAAGGATGAAAACAGTACTCTGGTAAGCTTTCTTCTTGAGCAAGTTTGTGGAAGATGGATCTTTACACTGGGGATCTAAACTGAGGAACGACAGATGTAAGCTTTAAGCTTTATAACGAAGCAATCATAGTCGAATTTAAATTGGACCCAGATTTGACAAAGCTATTTGAATTGCTGTGATCACTATATTTTTGTTTTGTTAAAACAGGCCTGATTTGAATACATCTTTATCGCAGATTATGGCTTTGTTCATGTTTTATCATGCATCGACGGTCCTTGTCTTGAAGATGCAACATAAGACTAAACAGCCCCTTACAGATTGCTTTAAATCTCAGTTTAGCTGAGAAAAAGTTCACCGAGTTCCTGTCACAGCTGGACTCTGTGAGATATGTATTCCTGAGTTAGCTGGAGGGTAGTTGGCACCTCTACAATGAGTGTGGGTTTCTTTTTTTTTTACCTCATTACCTTCCGACAATCAATTTCCAAAGTTTGAAATGTATGACTTGCCACTAAGTGGGCACTAGAGACCTGTGAAGGCCTTATTTATTCACCCTGCAGCCACTTGCCCTTGTGACTATCTTTGCCATGCATAGGGTGGAACAAGCCACTGCCTCAATTATATAAAATAAAGAAATAAATTAGTTGACAGGGTTTAGTTTCATTTGTTTACAGGATGTCTGTACACAACATGTCTTCCCTGTCTTTCAGTAAGTGGGAATTGGTAGCTCTTGAGTGTCGTTTTTTGCAGAATATTCCCCGAAGTCACGTCCTAGAGAAACATAAAAGAAAAGCATAAGAGCTACCTTGCGAATAGGGGATCTGGAGGCAGAGTGCGGAGCCTGTTGGAGGTCATATCCAGCCTTGCAAGCTTGTACAGCTCTCCAAAGACTCCCTCTGCTATGAAGTCTATCAGGTTATGGTCCAGATTGAGAGTGTGCAGACTGGCCATGTTCTGAATGGACTCCCACGGCACCCTGTAGCAAGGAGAAAGAGGGATATTCAGAGATTAAAGTGAGTTTCATTGAATTATTAGACATTGGGCCAAAGTCTGTCTTTTATTTGTTTCAGAGTTGATATAAGAGCATATCCTTTAAGGAAATAGCAGCTGTGAGGATTAATCACTTTGATGGTTAGTGTCCCTTGTGGATAAATAACTCTATAGGGAACCAACCTGATTACAGTAAGCTATATATCAGTCAACATTTACACTCTATTTTCTGAGCATGCTTCTACGTTAGTCTGTGGAAAATGGGAATAAGCGAAGACTAATTACTGGTGACAACAATGACAGACTACACAACAGATGCTCTTTTTCCTTCTCATTCTTTCTGTTTTGTGGGACTACACCAGTCCCATCTGTGACCTAATGCGGCAGTCATTTAGTATTCCTTTTGTGGAGGCATTCACTCAAGAACTGTTTAAATAAAAACTGACTGAACAACAGGCAAAATGAAATCAAACCTAAAATGTGACGAAACTGGAAGAAATAGTCCTATTTTTGGGTTCATGTCTACACTGTTGGTTTCATCTTGTTATTGTTGACTTCACTATAGTGTGTTTTTCTACTTAAGCACACTATTTGTTTTGCAGAGGAAACATTTGCTCTCTGATAAACAATGTAGCGCTCGTAGTACCCAGAACAAAGAGAACCTGCCACTACACAAAGTACCACATTACCGATTTCAAAGCCAATTTGGGGATAGTTTTGTGTAATAAAATGAATTGAATTAATTAGTTCAATTATTTCAAAGGGAAAGGAAAAATGCTAAATTATTGACTGCTATAACAAACAGCAGATGGTTGCTTTATTTGTCTATAAAGCATAATGTCTCTGGACAATAAGCAAGGCTTGATTATTTAATCATGTTTGTGGCATAGACTAGAAAGACCGACAAATAAAGCACGATATTGTTGCACAAGGATGTCTCTTTGATATGGGCTAAATTATAACCCACACACACTTTGATTTCGTTTTTGAAGTCATCTTACAAACATGCCAGAAGTCAGTTGAAGGTAGAGCAGATGACAACAAATAATCATTTCAACCAACTTGCTTTAAAACTCTGCTATAAACAGTATTTATGTCATTCAAAGACTCAAATGTCTACAATTTTCCTCCACGATTAAAATAGATAGATAGATAGATAGGATAATCTCTTCCTCTGTTTTCATATTTCGTGATGTGTCACCAGCTTTGAGCATTTGTAACCTTCATTAGAAATAATTGTTGTTTGGATACGAGCTGGCCGCACATTCAGCCAATGTCCTCCCCTCTGTCTTCCCCTTTCAACTCTATACATCTCTACTAAAGGGCCTTTGAGGCCTTCAAATAAAGAAAGAATCAGTGACGCAGGCTCACATCTGTCTGTAAAGAATACTCCGCAAACAGCAGCTGTTAATGTATTGGTCATTAAAGCTCTACACTTATAGCCTGGTGGATGTTGGAGAGCGTCCAGAGAGCTTGTGTAGAGGAGACGAATGAAACGTCTTAATCAGAACTGACAGCTAAAAGCTGCAGAATCCATCAAGGCAGTGTGAAGAGGAGAATAGAAGGGTGATGGAGAATATGTTCTTTGTTCTGACTTCTAATTTAGTCCAGGAGAATGCATAGAGATGTCGTCTCCATTGTCCTAGAAAGAGATGAGTAGAGTGCTACCCAGTGCGGTAAATGGCAAACCGCTTAGAAAAGCTGTAGCAATCCACACTCACAGCTCAGACGTCCACTCATCAAATCTTAACAAAATCGAAGTCAAAGAAAATTAGGACCTCATCAAAATTGATTCACTTTGACTTTCCTGAGCTTTTAGTCCTCTCCTCCCGGCCTCAGCAGTTTGAGCCGGTTCCTCTTCATTATGTTTGCTGACTGATCATAGGTGTTTCCACTGTGCCTTGACATTTTGGGAGCTGAGCTGTGCTTCTTCAGTATTCGCTTGAGACCGCTTGAGCAGAGCATTACATTCAGTTTCTACTCGACAAAGCACAGCAGGGTACATTTGATGCGTGTGGGTGATCAAGGCAAAGCTTACCTCCTGAGGTTGTTGTAGGACATGTCGAGGTCTTCCAGTGTGAGCAGGAAGTCGTCAAAGGCCTGGACGGAGACTTTGATCAGTTGGTTGTTGTTGATGATCAGGTGCTGCAGATTGACCAACCCTGCAAGGTCCCTGGGTCCCACTGCTATCAAGCGATTACCTAGACACACAATGATGTTATTATTTGACCAAATCCAAATAGTTTTAATCAGCAGGATTGTATTTTTTCTTCGAATAGTTTGACTGTTTCGGCTCACCGTCCAGATGCAGTGAGCGCAGACTCTCGAGGTCACCAAAGGTCATGGGTCGGATCAGGTTGATGGTATTCCTCGACAGAGTCAAATCCACCAATCCGCTCATGTTGGCAAAGTCAATCCCGCCCACTTCCGTGATGAAGTTGTCGGCCAGTCGCAGCTCCACGGTGCGCCGGTCAACGTTCACGGGGACAAAAAGGAGGCCCTTGTCGGCGCAGAGCGTGCTGAGCGACTCGGAAAGGTTTCGGCACACGCAGTGGAAGGGACAGGTCGAGACCATGCCCCACGTCTCCCCTGCTCCAATCAGTGAAGGCAGCAGGCAGCATGTGACCAGAGACAGCCAGTGGAACGCCGGGAAAGGGGCCGATTCGGGAAGTGTTCTTTTCGGAGCCCTGGGGCACGCGCAGTGGACGAGCTGGGATGAGGAGGGCAAAGATGAGACGAGGAGAGCGGGGAGAAAAGAAAGAGAGGGGATGGATGGAGGAAAGAGGGGAGGGGAGTGTTCTGCCCTTTGTTCGGGATGGAGGTGTGTGTGGGGCAGGTGTTTTTGTCTGCAGGGATTGAGGGGTGGGGGGACAGGCATGGTAGAACACCTGGCGATCCACAGACCTGCAGGAAGAAAAAAAGCAGAATAGGTTTGAGACAGAGTTGTTTCATAAGAGACGTCTGAAGTGTGTTTTTATTCTGCGTCCCTGTCTTCCACCTACTCTGACTAGACAGAGCTAGAACAGGACCTTGATCTACACAGAGTGTGTGGGCTATGCCTCCTCTAAAATGAGCACCACTCTGCTCTAATGCTCACTTCATAGCATACAATAAAATCCATATTGAGGAATGGTGGACGCCCATGCAATACATGCTTTCTTGCTGTGTCTCTTACATATACACTTGCACCTCCTCACCACTACAGCTTATCGCCTAGCAACAACATCCCAAATGACTGAACACAGACAGTCCCCATAGTAACAGTTACCTAGAAACCTGGAAGAGAGGATTTGACTTGTTATATCATCGGACACCTTCTCAACACTGCGGGTCAGAGAATCAAACTGGGTCAGCAGTCTTTTCAGTGTTGGTGTTAAAGTCTGAGTGAATTGCAAGACCTACAACACCTCCATTATAATCTCAGAAATCACCCACTAACACATTCTTTGTGCTGCACAACAGTTAATACAGCTATGTGATGAGGTGTAGAGATGAGTCACAGCCACTGATTGGCATGCATAATAGTTGTCATAGCAACTGTCATCTAGATACAGAGAGTGACAGGGAGTGTTGATAACAGTCACTGCCTCTGTGACTGGGGAGACGGAGAATGAGACAGGGAGTCAGACGCAGACAGACAGAGACACGAGCATCGGTGCAGAAAGGCGGCTGCATTTTAATGCCGAGCGATCTGGGAACTCGTGCAGCCGAGTCCTGAGGCGGGCGGTTGTACTGTGATATATATTGTATGCAACCTAATACTTTGAGTAACGCCAAGACACGGCCGTATATCATGCTGACTTTACAGGTTGACTCAAATTGCCGGCTCAATATTTATTCCATTAGGTGCTAGCTTTGCTCTTTCTGTGTGAAGCTAGAAGAGGGGTTTACAATTTAGCTCGGATATTGAAGCAGCATCGATACGAAAGCAGAAGTTTGCACCCTCTTCCCGAATATATGGTTTGCTTTCAGAATGGCGGCTCTATTACACGGACTAAAGTGTTCCATTCGTGAAGATAAAGAAAACTATTGCCTGAAATGATACATTTGACCTAAAAGCTTTCTCTGTTAAAGCAAATAAATGAAAGAGATAAGAAGTATCCGTCTTATTTGACGGAAATACATTACTTATGGATTACTTTAGGCTCCAATGAATGGTATCATTGCTTCCTTAATGTCATGCATTTCCTTTTGAAATAGGGTCTTTGGGCAGAACATTACACTGATGGGCTATTACTGTTGTTAAGGAGAAAGATGCTATTTGATTTGGAAGAAAGGCAAAGCTGTGTCCATTCACAGACCTTTAATAGCCTACAAGGACTGATGTGTCGGAAAACACTGCTTTTGTTGTCTGTTTTTGCTACTTAGCTCTTAATACTGGAGTAGAGCTTGGTTGCTGTAGGGAGCTCTAATGACTACCAGGAACCTAAAGCTCAACTTAGAAATGGTACCACAGATAGAAATCTCCTCATGCCCGTTGTCATCAGTTTCACAAACTTGCATGCAGCATTAGTACGTTTGAGGTTTGCGGGGGGGGGGGGGGGGGGGGGGGCAGGGCAGAGTCACGAATGCCTGCAGTGACAACACATCCCGAGCTCCCGTTGAGTCTTGAATACTAAAAAGTGAAAGTGCCCGAGAAAAAGTGAACTGTGGGTGAACACGCGTCGGCCATAACGTCGGTGGCTGCCGTACACTGAGCTGGACCAGCGCCCCCCCCCCCCCCCTCCCCCCCCGGGCTCTGCTAATGTCTGCTCCTCAGACAGCTTACTTTAGCCCGCGGCTCGCTGAATGTCAATACACTCACGCACTCTCCTGTTGCGCCACCTGTGTGTCTCCACTCTGTCATTTGACCTTTATCTTTCCTTCATCCCTCCTTTACTCTATTTCAGCCCTGCTCTTTCTCTTTCTCTTTCTCACTCTCATCATGACTTCCTCTTGAGCTCTTTCTCATGTTCTTCTATCTTTGTCTCTACCTGCATTGTCTTTTGTTGCTGCCTCTGCCTTGCCCTTGTGAAAGCCCTCCCATCTTTTCCCTGTCGCACACAGTAACCCTCTTCCTTACCTCCCTCTCCTCTTCTTCCTCTGACTCTATTACCACGGAGAGTTCTTTGTATCTCTGCCATCCATCCCCTCCCATTTATCTCTCACTGCCGTGCCCCTCCTTGTGTGTTTCTATCCGTTTCTCTCCTGCGTCTCCATCCTTGCTCACTTTCTTCTTTACCCCTCTGGCTCCTCTGTACATTTCCACATTTCCCTCTTTTCTCTCTGTCTTGTCTGCCCTTGAGGCAACCTGAGTACGACAATGTTATCAGTCACAGCTCTACCACACCACATTCTCCCTGATGTTTCCCCTCCTGCACCTCCCCTACCCATCTTTTTGTCTTGTCTCTATCACTTGCTGCCCTCCAAGTCTCCTTCCCTCTCCTGCTCCTACAAACTCTTAGATCCACGCATGATTTAGCCTTCTTCTCCACCCTCTATTAGTGAGCCGATCTCATTTGCACCTAGAGCAGTACAGTATCGAAGCTCTCCGACACACACATGCACAGGTTGGGTGTAACCGATCTGTCGTGTAGTGATCGATCTGGCCCAGAGTGATGGATAGCTCCCTGTCCCATTCATTTACACCCCTCCCCTCCTGCTCATTCCCCCTCTCTCATCCTTGCTTCTTTATCTATCGTGTTACTCGTCTCTCACATCTAAAGGTGGTAATCCTTCAAGTGATTGATTTGTACAGGTATGTAGGGTGTTTCTTAAGAGCATTACTTGGTATACTGAGGCGTGGTGTCTGAACATTAACTCGTTTGGACACAACATGTAAAGATTTAAGTCGTTTCCACAGAATGTAGTTTAAATTGAATGTTCAATATTGTGGAAAATAGCTGCTCTTTTATGCAAATATATTCAAGAGGAGTTGACACAAATATGCAGCAGTAGGTGCCATCAAATGTTTCTTTTTTTAAATAAAAACATTTCTACTTCAGCCGGCCAAACTTTTAATTGATTGCATCCCCACTCAGTGTACCTTTTATAGAGTTGAAGACCTTTCCTAATATAGACTTTACAACCATAATATGGTTAGTTTTTGTTCTTTCGTTATCCTATAATATGTAAGAAGAAAAAAAGCCTGAAAACGTCGCATTTCCAATCACCAATTCCCAGAATCTAATATGAAGTCTCTAGCTTGTTTTATCTTTTTCAAATATTCAGTTTATCATGGCATAAAAAAGAATAAATGCGAAAATGATACCCTATAAGGTGAGTCAGTTTATCATTGGGCTGTAGTTCATACGAGATATTTGACATATCAGATAACTTATAATGATCCACATTGCTGCATTGAAACTGCACATTTGATTTATATAGCGTGTACTGAATGTAGCTTTTGAGATCAGTTTTCCTTATCTTCACCTTCCTCTTTGGTCTTTTTACTTAAGCGCTGAGGCATTACAATTTCCCCTCTGGGATCAATACAGTCTTATCTTACACATTGCACCGATGCAGAAAACAGGTACAGTGTGTGTGGGTCTACCATCAACTTTTATCTACTCACAATGCATACGGTTAGCCTCACCATGCTGGTCTAGACCGTGTGTGTGTGTGTGTGATTTAATGTGACATTTCCCTGCACTTGGGGACCCTTCCCTTGCTCTTAAGAGTTTGCTGCTGAATTTGCAATAAGAAGGGATGCACAGATGTGAGCACACACACATGCACACACACACATTCACACAGAGCAAAAAGGCCAACACCTCTTTGATATCATGCCTGCTGGATACTTTTTGGGGTGTGAAAGAATAAAGAGTCAGTCAATGAAAGATAGATGACAGAGACACACAGAGGAGAGGAGAGGATTGAATCACGACATGAAAAGACATCAGACGGAGAAGATGAAATTAACAGAAACTTTCAAGAACACCCTGTGTGCGGGCGTGTGTGAAAATCCCATTAAAAGAAATGTGCATTTGGCTAGGTGTATGTGTTTTTAAAAGTATGTGCCGTTTAAGGGTCTGCAAACGCTTCGCTTTTTTCGCTATTGTTGTTTGTTCTTTTGCTTCCTCTATTTTTGGGACATCTCGATCGCTGCGCTACCCTGCATGAACCTTCAAACCTCCAGAGAGCAACACACAGGCGGGTGGAAAGAGAGTGAGAACACCAGCTAAAAGCGTCCGTGGAAGGAACTGCTCGGTGTTGGAGCACGACTCGAAGGAACATAACCTTAACTTAACTTCCAGAAGTTTCCTTCTAAGCGCCCACCGCAGCCCCAGGAGGGTGACTCTTTCTTTTATGCCAGGACAAACCCGGTCAAATATGACACTTTGGAACGATGAACTTCCATTAACGGTGTTTCTTTTGAACCTAACCAAAACCCAGGCAATTAGGAGGTGTTCCAGGCATGACTAGAAGGCTCTAATGTGTCCGCCTGTTATCTCACACAGAAGACCTATTGCACTTTAGGGCTTAATTCCCTCTTTGGTCACAGTCTTTCATTCGCTTTGGACTATTATAAATGTCAGGCCCTGTTAAATGCCAGCCTCGATGATGTTGATGAATACTGATTCATATGTATATTTTCCAAGTCTGCATATATGTTTGTGAATCCCTCTCGAATGCGCGCAAATGCCATTAGCCTGTAATCGACTTAAATCGACTTAGGGAATGTCGCAGTGTTTATAAACAAGGGGATTTGTATTAGCTCTCGAAAGCCACTTATCACAAGCACAGTAATCCACAGATCTGATTGGAGTGAGAATACATCCACAGAGAGGCTCCAGTCAAAGCCTCTGCCTACAAATGTAATGTTTGATTACTAGGTGTGGCTAAATGAAGGTAAGAGTTAAAGAAAATGTGATCTGAATATCGGTTTACGAGAGCATCATTTACTCTGAAAGTCAAATATATGG